ACCTCGGCCTTGCGGCGGATCACCCAGCGCTTCGTGTTCGGCGGCGGAAGGTCGTCAAGCGTCATCGGCTGCCCGTTGGGCCCGATGGCGACAGCCGGCCTACCTGGACGGTCGTTCGACATTGTACGGCAATCCTCGTCTTCGCAACGTCCTTTGCGATGGCCACCAACGCTAGGCCCCGCGCTTTAAAAAAGACCTAAATCCAATAGTTAAGCCAAATCCCACCGAACCACCCAGGGGCGAGACGCACAACCGGCCCGATCGGGGAGCGTCACGCGTCCGCGATCGGGCCGGCGGGGACCCCGGGCCAGGCCCGGAAGGCGGCGGCGGCAAGCCTGGAGGCAGCGCCCGCCCCGCCCGTCGGGCGGGGGCGAGGCTGCGCGCGCCAGGCTAGCGGCGGATTCGGATCAGCTCCTCCAGCATCTCGTCGGCTGTGGTGATGATTTTCGCGCTCGCCGAGTAGGCGCGCTGGGTGATGATCATGTCGGTGAACTCCTCGGCCAGGTCGACCGTGGACGACTCCAGGGCGCTGGGCGCGACCTTGCCGGAGCCGCCGCTGTTGGCCTCGGACAGCACGTAGTCGCCGGAGCGGTCGGTCTGGATGAAGGCGTTGCCGTCGCGCGCCTCCAGGCCGTTGGGGTTGGAGAACATGGCGATCGGAAGCTGATAGATCGGGCGGCGCTCGCCGTTGTCGAACAGCGCGGTCACGACGCCGGCCTCGTCGATCGCCACGCCGGTGTACTGGCCGAAGCGCACCCCGTCCTGATCGAGCACCGAGATGGTGTAGTCCTCGCCGAACTGGGTGATGCCGTCGGTCTCGCCAATGGTGCCGGCGTCGATGCCGATCGTCTGGTTCGACGCGCCGGAGGCGAAGCCGCTGATCGAGATGTCCGGCAGCGTCATGGCCGAGGGCGCGCCGTCGACGAAGGTCATCGACCCGCTGTAGCTGGTCAGCGCTGCCATGCCGGCGGCGTCCAGGCTGTCGGTGGTGGTGCCGGCGCGCGTCATGCCGGTAATCGAGACGTCCCAGGCGTTGGCGGCGCCCTTCTGGAACTCCAGGGTCAGGTCGTGGGCGTTGCCCAGCGAATCGTAGATCTGGATCGTCACGTCGTGGGTGTCGCCCACTGCGGCGGTCGAGGGCAGGTTGATCCGCAGGTTCATGTTCTGGGTCGGCGTGGCCGCGCCGGAGAGGTTGGCGACGTTGACCGTCTCCACGCTGGTCAGCACCGAGGTGTTGCCGATCGGGTCGCCGGCGGCGTCGAGCGGCCAGCCCTGCAGGTAGTAGCCGGCGGCGTTGACCAGATTGCCCTGGGCATCGGCGCGGAAGTTGCCGGCGCGGGTGTACATGAACTGGTTGCCGGCGGCCGGATCGGCGGCCTGGTTGACCACGAAGAAGCCCTTGCCGGCGATCGCCATGTCGGTCGCCGAGGAGGAGGCCTGCAGCAGGCCCTGGCGGTCGATCTGCGCCATGGGCATGGAGCGCACGCCGCCCGGTGTGTAGGTCGTGCGGCTGGCCGACTCCGTCACCAGCGTCTTGAAGGCGGCCGAGGTGTTCTTGTAGCCGATGGTGTTCACGTTGGAGATGTTGTCGGAGATCATGCCCAGCGCGTTGGACTGGGCTGCCAGGCCCGAGACGCCGGAATACATAGCGCCGTAGATGCTCATCTCTCAGGGCTCCTTGCGATATCCTGCTGGATCAGGTGGCGGTGTTGGAGGAGCCCTGGGCGGGCTCGCGAATGGAAATGATGTCCTCGAGCGGCACCTCGGCCCCGCCCAGGTCGAGGTAGGTGGTGCCGTCGAGGCTGCGCACGGACTGGACGCGGCCTTCCGTGCGTCCGGCGGTGCCGACCTCCTCGCCGGCCGCGTCGACCGCCGAGACGATCACCTGGTAGGTGCCGGCCGCCACGGCGTTGCCGTTCTCGTCGCGCCCGTCCCAGTCCAGCTCGTGCGCGCCGCCGCCAACGGCGCCGCGCAGCTCGCGGACCACCACACCGTCCTTGTCGACGATCTTGATCTTGGTCTCCGCCGCGTCGCGCGCCAGGGCATAGGTCATGTTGGCGCCGTCGTTCAGGCCGTCTTCGCCGATCGTGACGAACTCGCCGAAGACCTCGACGTCCTTGCCGATGAACCCGACGGCCTGGGCGGTGCTGTTGAACCTGTTCTGGGTGAGCAGCTCGTCGAGCTTCTTGGTCTGCGCGATCGACTGCTCGACGTTGGTGAACTGCACGAGCTGCTCGGTGAACTTGGTCGAGTCCATCGGCGACAGCGGGTCCTGGTGCTGGAGCTGGGTGGTCAGCAGGGTCAGGAAGTTGTCGAAGGTCTCGTCCAGCTTCTTCTGGCTGGCCGCGGCATTGCCGCCGCCGGTGCCGGGAACGCCGAGGGCGCCGTTGACTTCGGTCATGCTGGTCTCCTAGATCCGCAGGTCGACGCGGCCGTCGCCGGCGGTGGCCCCGCTCTCGGGCGCGGGCGGTGCGGTCCCGGCGGCGGGCTCGCTCGCGGGCGTGGCGTCG